CAACTTGCAAAGTGCCCTTTTAATTTATTAATTTTTATTATTATAAAACTAAGGTATGCCACCCATCCTTGATCTTTATGTGGTAAATGACAAAGAGGTATTGAATTTTTCTCTCCATTTCAGTCTCTTTTGTTTCCTTTCCTAACTTGAAATCTTTCAGGTTTGGAAATTACCCCATGGTGTGCTGTTCATTCAGCTGGCACTATTGAGGCAGTGTCTTTTGTGTGAAGCTTCCCAATTCCATGTTCAGTGTCATGCTTATACTTCTAAATCATCTGTGGTGGAAACTTATCCTTGGTGCAGAAAAAGGCATATTGGGACATTTTTTCTAGATAACAACTTGCTACATGTTTACTAGCACACTGCTGATTCATATACATCTATATTGCATTTAAATCACACAAACATGTACTATTTGTTTCCTTAATTTTTTAGTACATAGGTGAAACTTATCTTGAAGTAAGATCATATGTTTTTGTAACACTGACTGTCAAATGTAGTAAATTATCCTTAACTTTCTACCTTTCTTGAAGTATCAAATAGAATTGCTAATTATGAGAAAGTGCTTCGCTGTGCCTTTCCTGGGGTACCAACACCTGTTTGTTTTGCAAGCCCCCTGGGATTTGTAGTTTAAAGAGCAAAGATTCATACTTTCTGTGAACATGAGAGATTCATTATATAAAATGAATGTAAATACACTGTGGTAAAAAGGCTTCCTTTCCCTTCACCTGCATGGTATGGTAATCTGATTGCCCCGAGCACAGAGTACAGTTCTTGAAGCTTTGTCCTATGCTCAGTGTGCACCTGCTCACTGACACAATACCACAAAGAAGCTGAATGTCATTTTAAGGGAGGGAACACCTCCTCAGGTGCCAAATGAAAAGCACTCTGGATTTCCAAGTTGCTGCTTATTTCCATGAATGGAACTCTTTGTGTTGGTGGTCTTCACTTCTATGAGCAAACTATAACGGTAAAAAATCACTGAAAATGCCTAAAGACACCCTAGTCCTAGGAATTGTGGCCCTCCTACTACCATTTCAGAAAGAAAGAAATGCATTATGTTATCTTTTTGAAGTGCACAGATGGGTATATTGTGTACTTGAAAGTACAAGTTCAGTAGTTAGTTCCATTATATACCCACACACTACTCCATAATAAGAGCAAGACGTTAGAATTAAGAAGACAGATAGTGTTTCATTCAAGGATGCCTGTTGATCACTTCTGACTGACTGTCTGCATAACCTATTTTTAGAAGATTCCTATGCAAACGTACTGCAAGAAGCTGTTGTTCCTCTTATACCCAATGAAAAGTGTCAGCAACAGATGCCAGAATATAACATCACTGAAAATATGATATGTGCAGGCTATGAAGAAGGGGGAGTAGATTCTTGCCAGGTAAATATGGAAAATTAGTCACCTTACACATTTTTAAAATTTGTTTTATTTTATTTTTTGTGTATGTGTATATTACCTGCATGTAGGTAAGTGTACCTGTGTTGTGCAATGCCTGCGGAGGAAGAAGAGGCTGTTGGATCCCCTGGGAATGGAGTTACAGACAGTTGTTAGCTGCCATGTGGGGGCTGGGATTTGAACCCGGGTCTTCTGCAAGTACAGTCAGTGTTCTTAACTGCTGAGCCATCTCTCCAGCCCCACTACCTTATACATTTAGATAGCATGGTTTCACTTAAAAATAATTTGAGACTTAAGAAATCAAAATGGTTCCTTAGTTTCACCTTTTCCTTTATAGAAGTTATTGGTGGCAATGAGTGACTTTAGGAAAATCATGTGGTTTATTTAGTGGTTTTATTAAGTACTAAGCAAACACTTGAAACTAATAAGATATTTTATTAGACTTACTAAGTCAATTTTATGGCATGCTTTCTTTATTAGAAAATTAATAAAATATTAATGTGTCAACATTTACTGGATTAGATTAAATCTGAAAGTATTATAGACCTAGTGAATAACTGACACATGTGAGCTTGGCATTTATATCAGGAGGAAATGGTTTTATCATGACAAAGTGTAACATCTTGTTCAATATGTTAAAAATATATATGATAGCTTGACAACACACGTTTAAAACAGGAAGCTAAATGTCTCAAGTCATGTTAAACTTTTCAATCAGTTTTACATTTATTCTGCTTTAATAAAAACTTGCAAATTCAATACAAATCAGTTAGCTTTTGCCTTATTTAAAACTTACCTTTGGCTTTTTATACTTCCCTTTTATAATGAAAAGTGTGCTACAGGAAGATATATTACCACTTAAGAGGAGATTTGTAGAATTATTGCACAGTAGGGAAATCAGCTATACAACTTCAATTACAGTTAATGGGAAGTGCACGGCAGACACCTCACATACTATGTAGAATACATGATGGCTAAAGCTATTGATCTTAGTGTTACATTATGCCAATAACTCATTCCAGATATATGAAATTTTATGCTTGTATTTACTGTCTGCAGAATCTAAGTATGCTATTCATTATCAAGTAAGAAATTCCTAATTCATGGAAATACCTTGTACAATTATTAGCATAATTGAGTAACCATCACTTTAGATTGTCACACGATTTTTTGGTTAAAGTTTAATATTAATTGACTAAGAACACATTATTTAAACTTTTGAACATGTTGTTGCTTGAAAAAGTTTTTTGAAGTATTATTATTTAGCCTCAAAATTTGTCCAATCAAGCTTTCACGATTCCTTAAGTGTCTTCTAGCTTACGGGCTTGCATTTTTGAGGCATCCTTCCAAGGACTAGGCAAAACCAGAGACTAGAGAATGTCTTCACATTAGGAAGCAGAGTGAATATCATTTCACCAACCATTCAGAACCATATCCTACATCAAAGGCTATCAAAGCATGGTGTGCAGCCTATTAGATGGATCATCACCCGGAACGTTTTAGAAGTATAAATTGTAAGACCTCATAACACACCTGCCAAACAACAGTCTAAAGTTGAAACCTAGTGATGTATGCTTTCTTGTGCCTTCCTGGTGACACTAATACATGAGACATTTTGAGAACCATTGTTCTAAAGAAAATGATCACTAACCTCACATTCACAAAGAAGATCATGACCTTAATCTTTATTTATATATCATATATTCTTACTGATTATATAGAGTGTCTAAATAGAAACATACAATTAAGTTTAATATTTGATGTTCTTGCATTCATTTATAATTTAAATACTTAAGCATCTTTGAAATAGTGGAAGAAGAAACATCTTCACTGAACAAATTATATTAAACCAAGGAGTTTATATAACATAAATGACATGATATGGTTGGCTGACAGGGTTGATAGAAAGGAAACAAGCCCAAGCCTCCCTGTCATGCACATGCCAGCACAAGGCTGTATGATCTGTGGGTCCCTGAAGTTCAACTGACCCAGTATACACTGAGAAAACTAAAATTCACGATTCTAATATCAGCATCTTATATTTGTCTAGTAAAAAGTCAATTATTCTTTTAAATAGAAAGAGCCAAACAACTCTTTTTTAAAAAAATCTGAATCTGCCAGGCATGGTGGCACACGCCTTTAATCTCAGCACTCAGGAGGCATATCTCTATGAGTTCAAGGCCACCCTGGTCTACATAGTGAGTTCCAGGACAGCTGGGGCTACAGGGAGACACTGTCTCAAAAAAAGATATATATATATATTTGGTTTATTTTTAATAACTTCGAAATCATATATATTTGGGGCTATAGACATTCTTCTCCACAAATGTATCTGAACTAATATATAGAAGAAAACTTAGGAATCAAAAATGGCAATCACAGCCATCCCCCTTCAGGCAGCTTAGACGCATTTGTTGTATCCTGACTATAGGTAACCTGTGACAGTATTGACGGTAGTATTCTTCTGCACACGCTTGATTGGCCATATTTTTCCCTTTAAGTACAGCACCAAAAGATGATCAAAAGATCAGGTAAAAAGTCCTCATGATGTTTCCTAACATAAAGCTAAATTTGAAATATTCTATTAAAGCATTGATTTTAAAAAAGGATATGAATTTTATATAATTTCATAATAAAAAGAAATGATTTGTCTGATGTGGAAGTGCAGCCTGCCTTTAATCGCAATATTCAAAGGCAGAGGCAGGTAGATCTCTTTGAGCTCAAGGACTGCTTGGTCTGCTCACCAAGTTCCAGGCCAGTCAGGGATGAATAGTGAGACCAGATCTCAGACATAAAATAATATAATAAATAAATAGAAATTTTGAATAGTTAATGCAGGAGAAATATTTGTTAATAAACTAATCACACTAGGTGCTCATATTATTGCATTCCATGAGAATCATGATGTAGAATGACATCTGTGTGGTTAATTGAACTAGGATCTGCTATAATAAATACCTGTGAAAATGAAAAAGCTTTCCTTTCACAGTTAAAATCCCAAAGTGAAATACATTCTCCTGTTTCTAGAAATTATATTATAGAAGATTTGTTTACTTCAGCTGATGTTAAGATTTTCAAATTTGTTAGGTAATTGACAAAAAATTCACTGTTATACAGCAGAACTAAAATTAAAACCATGTATGAATTCTTAATTTTTTATAAAAACATAATGCGAAATAATTTCGTTTTTGTGAAGATTCTTCTGGACATTTAGCAGAAGTACTACTTAATAAAATGGTTAATCCTCTTTGGCCTAATGATTTGTTATTGAAGTGATTTAGAAACTTTCTTATTTCAGGTTAAAGTAGCATAATTAAACTGGGGAAATGCTTGCTAAATAGTATTCTACAAACTGTTTTAGATGTTATTGCTTGCTCAAAGGTTTCTCATACATAATGTAGAATGGGGGTGAGAAATATAGAAATCCTCCTTAAATGGTTAATCCTCTTTGGCCTAATGATTTGTTATTGAAGTGATTTAGAAACTTTCTTATTTCAGGTTAAAGTAGCATAATTAAACTGGGGAAATGCTTGCTAAATAGTATTCTACAAACTGTTTTAGATGTTATTGCTTGCTCAAAGGTTTCTCATACATAATGTAGAATGGGGGTGAGAAATATAGAAATCCTCCTTTCAATGAAATCATATTTATGAGTACGTAATTTTGGATTGATGAACTAAGATTTTTATGTTTATATTGACTGACCATGCACTTGCAACTCCTGTGGTTCACTGTCTAGGGAGATTCAGGAGGACCATTGATGTGCCAAGAAAACAACAGGTGGCTTCTTGTGGGTGTGACGTCATTTGGAGTCCAGTGTGCACTGCCTAATCGCCCTGGGGTGTACGTCCGGGTCCCAAGGTTCACAGAATGGATAAATAGTTTTCTATATTAAGCGTTTCCTAACCAAATACGAAAGTTAGTCTGCCAGTTTTCCCATTTTACTCTAAGTAGCATGGAAACTGAGAGTGTTATGGAGGGAGAAACAAAAAAGCTTTTATTTTTAACTAAATCACCTACATGCTGGGAGTAGTGAAGGAAGACAAAACAAGAAATTGAAATTGATCTTTCAACACAAAGTAACTCTCGAACACATTTTGATTCCATTGTAAGTAATGTTTCTTTCAGAAACATTACCATTTCCTTTGTTTTTAATCATTATTTTTATCACTTTCTGCTATGTAAAAGGATATTATTTTAAGATATTGTCCATACACTTATAGAAGTTTAAACAAAATTGGGCAAAAAAGTGAAATGAAATACTTATGCAAAGTAAGTCATTGTTTGAAATGAACAGCTACAACTTATCTGGTTTCTGTTTAGCTGATTATCAGAATCACAATAGTTTTTTTGCTTTTCCAGCCACACGCATTTCAATTTCAAGTTGAAGATAAATATAATCTTTTCCTTGCTCATAAAAGTATTTATTGTAAGGTCATAACATAGACCTGATTGTAACGTGATTGATTGTGTGTTCCTCACAAATAAATGCTACAGCGTTCCCTTTCCAAACCTATCATCAGAAAAAAAGCAAATTACTTGACTGATATGGCCATTCTACACAGATGATTTTTACCTAGGTTATTTGAACTCTCCATTTATTTTGAGTTAGTATGCTTTAAATCTCAAAAAAATAGATATTTTGAAGAAATACTGCTGTTAGAAATGTTTTTCTCAGTTTATGTGTTATAGGGGATGTTCTTAACATGTGAAAAACTTATTGAGACACAGATGAATTGCCCATTTAAAAGTCAAAAATGTGTAATAAATGAATTTGCTTTACTCATTTAATCTTTTGGATCATTTCCAGAACAAACTTTAGTTTCACTTACCACACCGAATCTCCTGATTTATTTGGGGAGAGAAAATTTGAACTGCCTTAATACAAACATACATACACAGAGACAAATACATTTCACACACACACCCCATTTTTTGCAAGAAATGATATATTAGAAGAGAGGATAAGATTTAAAGGAGTTGGAAGAATGTACCATTTTCTATATATTGGCCTAATGAAAAAAGAAGCTTGAGCTACACTTGGAAGGAGTGATTATAATTAATGCATTTAAGAGGACATTTACGCATTAATGCATTTAAGTGGGGGCAGCCATGCAGGTCAAAGTGAGCCTAAGGGTCAGGGACAGGGGTCAGAAAACAGTCATGTTGTATCAAAAGACCTCTCACCGGGGAAGAGTGAGAGAAAAAAAATATGTCATTAAAATATAGTGCAGTAAAATAATAGAGGCAAGTTCCCAATAAAAAGCAACATAAGGAATCCAAGGTCTCTGAACACCTTCATTACAAGAAGTTTCTAATAACCCAATTCTAGCAAGAGGTAAGGAGACAGCAGGATCTGAGTGTCTTGTTTATGCTTAATACTTGAAGGTAGCTCCACAGTTCCTTGGTATTTCCCAACACATATTAAAACTATGTTCTGAAAACAAAGAACAGAGAGATCCATGATATATCTGTTCATTTGTTAAATGCCAGCTAAAGTTTACAGAAATTCTTAGAACAGTAGCATTACCATTTCCTAGTAGGAAAGAAGTTTATTTTCCCACAGTTGTCACTGATGGAATTAATTCTGGGTACTAGCAGTTATTCTGAACTGGATAATGATAAAAGGGAAGGCGCAGCCTTTTCCCATCACTTTCTGTTTCTGCCCTCCAGCTGTTAGAGTCCTGGGTGGCATAGGCAAAGGAAAAAGCTTGTTTCCCTTCTATCAAGTCCTAACTAAAGGAAGCAATGGTGGAGTTGGAATGGAGGGAAGACAATAGGTCCTGACAACTGGTCCCCAGTCAGCCCAGGAAGATGGTGAGCCACAAAAGGAAGAGAAGCACTATGAAGGCAGAGCTAAGTTCAGAATGCAGCTGGCCATTCTCAGTCCCAGAACAGCAGTAAAGAGACTGAAAGACCCTTTTTGACACTTAGTTCTACAAACCAACTCTATTTAATTGCTCTAAGGAAAGTTTTTATTGTGCAACTGAAAAGGCTCACAAGGAAAAGAAATTTCCCTTTTCACTCTGTATCCACACCTTCCACGCTCTTCACACGTAAGGACTTGTTGGGTTTCTTTCTTCTTCCAGCAGTGGAGTAACACATCTGTATTTTGTTCACTTTAGAAACAGACAATACCAATGATCATTCTTCAGAAAAAAGAATTCTTTATTTGGTTAAAAGGAGCATGGGGACCAAATAGTTAAGAACTCTCTCTTGCAAACAACAAATCATCAGCATCAAAGAAACTAGATTAGAGAGAAGAAAGTGCAGTTCAGGATCACAAACAAAACCTCATCAAAGACTGTTCAGTCATCAACGACCTCCAACCCATGTTACATTAATTTATGTCATTTACAGTTCTTTTCTCAACATGTAACTTCAGTGTGCTCTGCTTAGTGTCACACAGTTGTAAATCATTCACCTGGTCCCGCTTATCAGACCTATAAACCAATAGGATAAATTCAGCTAGGAAAACCTTAAACAAACCATACCTTTCTGCCTCCCAGGTCAATCCAAGCCCCCAAACAGCTATCTTGTTTGTCTGACAGTGAAGCGTTCCAATGAGTCTAGACCCTCAGAGGGCGCTACTTGCACTTAATAGGCAGTGTGCGACGACCTATGATTTGTACTGTGTATGCCATTTTCTTTTTGTTCAGGATTGATTACATTAATGTCTATACAACTATTAGTAAAGATATTATATTACAAAATCTGTTTAATTTTAAACTAAAATTAATTGTAAGGCACATGTCTTGCACAATTGAAATTAGACAGTTCTTGCCTCTAAGTAAAGTGTTTCTGGAGATTTATACCACAGTTAATGAAACAGCTTCTTATTTCTGAAGAGATTTCCTAAACCGTGTCCAACTAAGAACAGAGAAACTAAAAGACAATGAACACTTTCTGTAAAAGAAAGATTTTCCTTTTGGAAAATCTTTTGTGTTTCTGTAAAATCAAAATGGCATGTGTTAAAAAATGAAATGCCATAAAAATAAATATTAGAGCAGTCCATTTTATCAAACACTTATGCAAAGGTAAAATATTTCAGCACACTGAAAATTTCAATACAATTTACATTATATGAAGTAGATTACAAGTTATGAAATGTGAAAAAAAGTAACTGCTTTCAACACATATGCCTGATGTGCTGGCAGAAATTCCATCTGCATGGTCCATTCCATTTACATAAATGTTGGGTGCATCCTTTAGTGAAATAAGCATGTCTCACTCTATTATCAGCACAGCATATTTTGTAACTGAAATAATGAACATATAGAAATCGTTTTGATATTTTCCTCAAGGGGGAGCTTACAGTTCATCTTGCAGATCCTTTGAGACTTCAAGCCATTCCAAGCTAATATGTGATGGACGTCATTCCTTATACTGATTCTGAATTATAAAACTATTTTCTTTTCCAGAGCCACATCAATTAAATATTATACTTCCATGCCACTTTCCTTTCTGGTGCTCTTCGAAATCCACAGTGTAGACTGGTTTGGGCTAGTTTTTGTTCTTCCTTTACTGAAAAACATACAAAGAAATAAATTCAGTTCCAGACACCACTTATCAAATTGGGCCTGTTTTGGTGCAAATGGAGATTTCAGACAGTTATTTATAAAAACTCTTTTCTCACCAGCATATTTTCCATTCCTACAAAAAAATTCTGGATTATTCCAATGTGTGAAAACGACAAACAGTTCTTTTAAGTGTTGAAAATCAAAAATGTATCTTTATCTGTTGACTCTTCATGGATTTCAGATACACACATGCAAATATGTCTGACAGAGAACTAAAATACACATTTTATTCCCCAATAAATCTTTATTTCCTTTGATAAGTGATTCTGAATTCTGCTTTCTGAGTACTCTACACAGTGTCTGTTGAATTTAATGCAAGTCACTCAAATAAATGCTCTGGTCCTAAGTACAAGAGCACCTATTACCTCCTTCTGTCAGCTTTACTGAGCTGGCTTAAGTCATTTATGACTCAACTGCTTAATGTTATACTTTGGCAACTTAGGAGTTTGTAAGCTCTTCCTCCAAGTCTAAAATGTGAATTCCATCCTGTGAAAATTGACTTAGAACCCATGTTCTAGTGTGTGCCTGAGGTTCTGACTGTCTTTACCTTAGAGTGGTCACATTTCAGGCTCCCGAAAATGTCTACTGTAAGTTTCTCCATGTTATCCTCTACCAGATTACTTGTCAAGATTTCTATTTCTTTCCTCCTTTTATTCCTGAGGATGTATCTCACTTATATTACTACTTGGTCACAATTTTCAGTACTTAGCAATGTCTCTGTACATCCACCATCAATGCTATAATAATTGCTGCAGTCCTCAAAGACCACCATCCTACAGACACACCTCCTCCACCCATCTACCATCCTACAGACAAGATACACCTTACCCATCCATGCCACCATTCTACAGATACACCTCTATCCATCCCACCATCCTACAGACACACCACTCCAGCCATGTACCATTCTACAGACAAGACACGCCTTATGCACCTGTACCAACATTCTACAGACACATCTCTATTCATCCCACCATTCCACAGACACACCTCTTCTATACATCCACCATCTTACAGGCACACCTCCTCCATCCATCCCAGCATCCTATAGACAAATTTCCTCTACCCATCTACTATCCTACAAGTGCACTTACTCCACCCATTCAACTATCTTACAAACACCCTCCTTCCCTCCGTTCCGCCATCCTAGGTACACCTCCTCCATCAACTGTACCACCCTATAGGCACACCTTCTCCCCTAGATCCTACCACCTTATGTATATACCTCCTCAACCCATCCCACCATGTTACAGACACACCTACTCCACCAATCTCACCAGCCTATGCACACACCTCCTTCCATTTCATCATCCTAAGCATACACGTCTATCCATCCCATCCTAGGCACATACCTCCTTCTAGCCCATCCTCCTAGGCACACACCTCCTTCCATCCCATCATTCTAGGCACAAAATTCCTTCAATCCCATCATCCTATCCACACACCTTCTTCCATCCCATCATCCTAGGCACACACATACATATATCCCACCATCCTACAGACACACCCCCTCATTTATCCCACCATCCTAAAGGTCCACCTTCTCCATCCATTCAACCATCTTACAGAAGTTGCAGAACTCCTTTAAAGAGATAAAAGAATTATGTATGTAAACATACATGACCACCTGACCATGCCATTATATTTTAGAATGTTTCATTCAGGTCAATTTGAGTATTGTTATGATTAATAAACTATATCCAAATTATAGGTCTATAGATAGTCTTTCAGATCGATAGGCATAACAGTTCTACTAAGTCATCTAGCATGAACAGGAAATAAGTCAGTCAAGCAAAGTTTTTAAAAGCAGAATTTTTTAAGTGGCAAGAAATTGGTTAAGTTATTAATGGGGTTTTTATTATAATTAGTAATTCACTTAAGAATTGCTATTAATTAAAGGAACAAGGGTTATTTTGAAAATGATATGGAATGAGAGAAACCACCATGTGTACCAGATTGGAATTTAAACTTTCTGCAAGGCACTCAGATGATAATGGAGTGGAGTCTTTGATGCAGTTTCTCCTTGCTTTCCTGGAAGAAAGGAAAATGGGAGGCTCTAAGAACAAATGAACAAAGTACTGCAGCCAGTGTTGGAAACTGCAAGTGATTGATTTGGTTCATTGCCTGCTCAGTTTGGTCGATTTTCTCACTCTAAAAATTTCAAACAAGTGAAAACATTCACAGATATTTAGAATAGATACAAAAACTATTTGTGAAAAGCAAAAAAACCCTTAGTGGATATGCTGTTACTCAACAGTTTAGTGCATTTTACTTTACAAATGGGAATATCTGAATCATATTTTTATATTATCTTTTTCTAGCAAATTTGCTACTTACATGACTTCCTTAACAATTTATCTTGGTTAAGAAGGGGCTTACATCCAATCCTCAAGCTACCCGAGTGCTTTCACAATGAGAAACGAAACATGTTTCCGTCTATATTCTTAGGAATTAAGGCAAGAAACAGCATCTTTTCTATTGTGTGTGTTGTATACAAAATATTGGAAAGTAAGTTTTACACTGTTCCACATGTAGTCAAAAGAGTCACAACATATAGTGTTTATTTGTCAGGCTTTGAAAGTTCTTAGATATGTGCTAATGATTTTTATATTTTCAAATATTTTAGTGGTGATTGTTTGTTTGAGACAGGGTCTTGCTATGCAATCCAGGCTGACCCCAATTAACAATCCTCCTGCTACTAGCTTCCCAAGCATTGGAATTATAGTTGTATGCTACTAGGCCTGCCTAGGTTAGAGCCCTTGTAAATGTATGTCAGTCACTGAGAACTAACATTATTTCTGGAAATTTTGTTACTTTGTGAGTTCTCTATGCTTTTTTTCAGGAAAATAAAAAGGATGAAATAAAAAGAAAAAAACTATTTCGTTTTCCGGTGGTTCCATGTTGCAAGCATTCTTTTGATCAGTTATTATTTAAAACACTGACCAAATATCTTTTATTATAGAAAATCTTTATTTAAATGTATCATCTACTTTCCCCTTTAATATATATTTATACTTCATTTTTAGAATTTAGTTGGCAAATTGACCTACATATAAAAACTTCACTAATTCGAGGGCATAGGTATGCATATATAAAAGTTCGAATATTTCCCAGAAAACTTGCTGTTAGGATGTATCATTTTATTTCAAAATCTCTGTCAACTAGCACCTGGGTTCATTTGTTTGATTGTTTGCTTGTTTGTTTTTATATTTGGGAGAAGTATTTGTTTGTTTTTATTGAGACAAGGTCTCATACCTGTAGCTCAGGCTATTCTGAAGCACCATATAGTTCAAGCTGGCCTTGCACTCATAGTAATCCTCCTGCTTCAGCCTCCCAAGTCATCACATTCAACTCACTGTTTTTACCATTGTATTTAATATCCTATTCTTAAAAGGTCCCTTTGAAGCAAAATGGGAGCCGTGATTTGGAGTTTGAAAGTGTATTACAGATATACTTTTTGAAATCCAGTTTTGCTTATAACTTGATGCTCACATTGAAATGCCTAGCATCAATTCTTTTATTTCATAATCCAGAGACAGTATAACACAGTAGATGTTGCAAGTTTACAAGCACTCATATTTTAGATCCACAATATATACTACCTGTGTGACACAAGACAAATTAAGTGATCGAACTAAACCACCATTTTCCTGGCTGAAAAACAAAAACCGCAAGACAAATACTTCATAAGACTTGTGAACTATAAATGAAATATTGGATGCCACATATTATCAAGGCATGTTATTCAATAATGTAGAAAAAGAACAAGAATGTATGTTCTACAAGACATTATGTGCTGGGTTTGTATTGGAAGGTATGTATATCAGAAGTGTTTAACAGAAAGTTAAAATCAATTGTTTTCATTTACTTGCAGTCTTTAAAAACATTCATTGAAATTTTGTGGATTTCATACAATACATCTTAATCATATTTAGACCCCTCTTCCCTGTCTGCACCCCACAGGACTTCATGCATTTTGTCTTATATATTAAGGCCTATCAAGTCAAGTTTGTGTACCCAGATCCCATGTAAGTTCCACCACTGGGGCCTGTTCAGCCTGTCTACTGTCACTCCTTTAAAGAAGACCAACTCTCCCTCAGCCAGCAGTGGTTGACAAAGTTAGTTTTTTAGCAACTTCATAAAGCTTTCTCAAAGCATATTTAAAGGTTTTTTTTTTAAGTTATCTGAACACAAATAATTTATTTACCTTTTATGTAGCATCTGGAAACAACAGGTTCCAAAAGCAACCAATATCAGTAACAGCAAGGGGATTGTTGGTATAATCACATAAATTAGATTGGGAATTATACCTACAAAAGAAAATAGTCTAATGTACAATAATAGCCAAAGAAAGACTCTGACAGCTATGCAATAATTTCCCTGAAGATTAAAATAAAATGGAATTATTGCTAAAAAGTAAATTGTAAGCAAGTTCACTGAAAATACTGAAAAAACTAATGAAATAATATATGCACATTTTGGTAATAATTATCAGCAAATTTGTAATGCCCTGATTGTCAAGCTCAATTCAATATGCACTTAAAAAAATTACTATTAAATTTGCAATTCATAAATGGACTAATTTTCATACCGTGTTAATAATCTTAGCTATCTCATTTCATTAATTCTTCTGAATCATTAGAGAAGCAAACCCTGAATATTAAGGAATAATAATGATTAAAGTTATTGTTGACTTGAAAGATAAAGAATTACCTCAGGCAATAAGCTCAGTATCATAATAAAATGCAAGTATCTGGGATTAAATGACATTATTGCAACTACTAAGTGGTGACATAGTCATAACCCAGAGACACAGGACTCCAGAGCAATGACATGATTTTAATTAAATACTAAAAATGAGTAATATTTCAACCCTGTTCTATTACTCTGGATGATGCAGGTATTCTAACAAATTATTCTAAAACAGGCAGCAACACTCCAGTCCTACACAGTATGCAATGATTTTATTAAGCATGTTTTTAATATCATAAGAAGGAATATATCCATAATATAATTATTTATTGAAAGCTTGAATTAGATTTAGATGTTATGAATTATATTAAAAACAACTACCTGAAATGTGAAAAGTTCAAAGGCTTAATAGCATATCTATATAAGAAAAGGAAACTGAAGAAATACATATTTAGTTTGCAAACTGAAAGTCACTCATCAATATGACTACTCTTAATAACTCTGACCAAAGTTGGTCATAATTTATTCACATAAGAGTTTATTGCTTCTTTTGTCAAAAATATGCATTTAATAATATCTAGTGATAGGTAATGTAGAGATATTTTTCTAAGTTTTACCCTTTATTTTTCCTTCATAAGTGAATACATTTTATTTTAAGCAAATTCACCCCTCACTCCCTACTTCCAACTACTCCCAGGTCCCTCACCTCCCTCTCCTTCCCAACTTCAGGGCCCAAAGGGTATGTCAAACATTTTAAGAATTTGTGAACTACTTCCTTTTCCAAATATTGCATTAATTCCAAATATTAATGATAAAAATATAAACTGTTATCTATGGGTTGTGGATTTTGAAACACTCAGGTCCTTGGCTCAATATTCACAAAGCAAATAAAATAAACATTTCTGCCCTAATTGGCACTGGGACAGGTTGGAAAGAGGTTTAAGGAACATTAAAAGCAATTTATGGCTAATACAAGATTTTCACTGGCGATTGCATTTTGTTTACTCTGGGGGCTGTGGTGGCAGCAGAATGGACAGCTCATTGCTGATATCTCTTCGCAACATGTTACACAGTCATGTCACATTCGTAGACTAAAACTGGTCAGGTAGGGGTATCTATACCAGAGAAGTCAAGGGAACAAAAGCTATAAATCGAGTGTGTTTTATACCTCACATCTACCCCAGCCAACTCCTCTACATTCATCTGCTGTTTGTTGGGTACTAAATATGCCAGTTAACATGACGTCAACTATATTGTATTGGGGGACTTTTTCATAGATATAGGCTTAATGTATCTATGAAATCACTCAATTTAATACCAAAATACATCTACTTGAAATGGAAATTTGGAAAAAAAATGTTCCTTCATTCAAAATGTATCATAGCATAACTAATTCTAGCTTACTTCAAGAGTAAATTTCTAAGGACCCATATTTAATGTACCGCATCCCCACGCAATAAGAAAAATTTCATTTGGGTCAACATGGAGCATTGTTTCAAAGCACACTTCTATAAGTGACAAAGTTAAGAAAACACAAGAATAAATCACCTGCTTCAGTAACAACCACATTCTCACTGGTGTCTCCTGGTTGATTTGTAAGATACGGCTTTTCAACAGGTTCTGTTGGATGAATCTCTGCAAACAATTAGCAAAGGAACCATAAATAATGATTAAGAAAAATGCAAATAATAAAAATAAAATGTGTCATGAATCAGTAAAAACATCTCAATTTTGATTTCTGCATAATTTACAGTCAAACACACTTTTGAATTTGAATGTACATAAAATTGGCTGACCAAAGCCAATATTTAATTATGTTTAAACAAAAGATCCAATTTAACAAATTCCCTCTGTAATCTAAACTTCATTTACTAACCAACAGTGGTACAATGCCAAAGGCAGCCAATAATCACAAAGCGGGCCCAAAGTTAAAAAGCTAAACAATAATTTGTGAACTTGAGAGGTAAGAGGCTAAACATAACTCAAAAGGAAACAAAGATAATTTCTCACTGTGATAAGTAGGTTTCTTCTTGTAATAATAATTGGCAGTCATTAAACATAACTCAGAAGGAAACATTGATAATGTCTCAGTATAATATTTAGACTTCTCTTTGTAATAACAATTAGCAGATAACTACATAATTGCATTTGGAATTGATAATTCAAGAACCAGTGTTCTGAAACACATTTCTGTGTTATACAAATAATGTCATTCCTAGATTTGCTTTTCAATAATGCTTGCTTTTCAATAGTGCCTACTCCTTTAAATAATCATAAATTAAGATTCACACATTGATTCTTTTCTGGTTTTGTGAGGCTAGATCTTTTCAAATGACAAATGCCTAAAAAATTGTTGAGATTTCTAAACATGGTCTGGTACTGTCATCTCATATATTGTTACCCCAAGGAAATATTCATTATATTAACAGTTTAGTGAAAGTAAATTATGGTAGCAGAAAAAAAGAAGAGATTTCAGATCTCTAGCTCCCTCCTTCTCCAAGAAATCAAGCTTCCCCACCCACCCCTGCACTGTAGAGATACTGTCTTTCACTAGACGGAATTGATAGGCAAGATGACTGTGGCCTTGAAGTGTTCTTTCCCCCTTGCATCTCCAAGCCCAGCCCCCTACTCAACATCCAGACCTAAGGGTAACTCTAATACCTGCTTCGACCCTAATTCCTGGGACAAAGACTATGCCATGTAGTGTGGAGCTTTCTCTCCCACATCCATTGCTTCACTTCTCACTACCTAAAAGAGCAAAGAACTCCCTTTGTTTCTCCTGAATTTGAAGGAATCCTCTCCTTTCAGAGACCCATCATACTACCTATAGCATGATATTATACCTTCCTTTTACTCAGAAACTGAAGGGAATTGAAGACTTTCCCTTAAGGACTCCTGTCACATTAGTAATGAGGTCTATCTAGACTAATGAAAGTCAACTTTGGGAACTGAAAAGGACTGAAGGAGGTCTGCCTGAGGACCCCTCACCCCATCATTCAATCTGTGATGTCTAGCTTGCCTAATAAATCACACTCTTTTCTATGAGACTATAACAATCCTTTTATTTATAATAGGTATGGTGGTTCATAACTAAAATGCAGGTACTGGAGAGAGGCTGGGACAGAAAGATCACCATGATATTGAGACTAGCCTGGTTTATATCTTGAACTTCAGAGCAGCCTGGGACACAGAATAAGACCACGCTTAAAACAAACAAAGCAAGCAAACAAACAAAACCTATAAATTTGTTTTATTCAAAACTATATTTTTTCTTTACTTTTATTATTTAAAATATCATAAGAAATATTTTATATAGTCTAT